TGGTTGTCTCTTGACGAAAACATCATTGATAGGCAAAGAAGAACAGTGGTAATGTAAGATCTTGATCCAGAAATCTTTTATTCGTGGATGATCTCCAAAATGTTCTTTCAAGAGATTGTTTAGTTCTTGTTCAAACTTCGACATGATTTTTGAACTCCATTCAAATGTATATGGAAGACGCAATATGATTTGTTGTTGTTGTTGTTGTTGTGATTTTCGTTGTTTTTTCTTTGCTTCTCGATATTTATCATGATTGAAGATATGTTGGCGTATTATTTCATATCTAGTTCGTATGAATGGTGGATACGCGACCATGACTCCGAAATCTTCTAGAAATTCGTTCAAACCTTCCTCAAAGATATCATTGGAGAAGCCATGACGATGAAGTGTGACCTTTATTTCATCTATCTCATTGTCGAATAATTCATCATTAGAACAATATCGTACTGCTCGCAAGAGATTTGCTCGTAGCCATCTCCATGTATCGTGTATTGGAAGTTGAATAGCATCAAGGAACGATGGTAATAGATCATTGTCGAATATACGTTCATGATATACTTGCGTATAAAGAAGAGCATGATGATGACCTAGTTCGATATCACGAAAATGAATCTTTGATCCAATGCTAGTTGTGTTCCACATCAATTGAGGCAATTGTGAATTAACTGTAACAAGCAATGTATGAAGTTCATCTTGAGATCTATTCCATGTAATAAATGCCTCGTCTTGATATCTATATATCAAATACAAATAGAATCATGTTTATAATATCATTATCTCCCTAGAATATACCTGACAAAGAGTTCATTCTTAGGAACCAAATCATTCATTAAATCTTGTTGCCAATAGAATAAATAGATATAGACTAATGGAATTGTCAATGGTGAACCAGAAGCACCACCCATCGTCTGTTGATATAATTTGTAATTGTAGATAAAATATTGATTTTCCAGAACAAGACGAACAAGTTGAAGAATCGTATCAATTGTCATACCTTGAATATGATGATCCGGTACGTAAGCATTAAGAAAACGTTCTAAAGCATTGATAGCTTGTTCGTGTGAAAATCTTATACATAAATCATCAATGTTAAAAGAAGCAAACAATGTGTTCGGTTGAAGTTGACCACTTTTCTGATAAAATTCCAAAGCATGTATCACATCAACAGCTTTCTTAAATTTTCTACAATGAGTCGCCTCGTTAAAGAGTGCACCAAGAAGAGGACCAAGAAAACGGCAGATACCAGTGGTAGGTCCATTATTGCATACCATGATCGGTCGAACTGGTATTTCTTCCTATATGTGTTAATGCAAAATAAAAACATAAAAATTGAAAAAAAAATAGGAAAATGAAGCATACTTTATGTGTTTCTGAGACGAAGTATACATAGTTCATTCGTACCAAGGAACGATCGATCTTCATCTTCGTATACTGTGCTTCAGTAATAGAATTGGAACCGTGTAAATTGTTCAATGTTGTTTCCACTTGGTCAACGATTTTAGCTAGACAATTTTGACTTGCATCCGGATAGGGACAACTGATTTTATAAACCAATGAATACATGCCTGTTTGTGTCATGAATTTGTAGACTTTATCATCAAATGTGTGTATTGATTCCAAATGATATCCAGTTTCTTTATATCTTGGCCGTAAAATAAGATGATCATTTGATAATTGATGTCGAATCGATAAAAGTTTTTCTCGATAAAAGCAAGCCTTTCGACGATCATATTGATTCATTGGTTCGCCATGAACATGAAGAAGAGAATAGGGACCGGTAATCCAATCAAGATTTTGGAGATATGGTGGCTCTTTATGATGATGAGTGATCTCGTCGTCATCACCTTCATCATCATCATCATCGGACGAAGACCAGTCATTTTCGTTGATGTTGTTGTTCTTGTACTCGAATTTAACAGTGTCATAACGACTTCCTCTTTCTAGTTCGTCATCAGATGATGACGATACGTTTGTTTCAGTAGTAGTGGCATGAATTCGTTCAGCCATTTAACATCAATTGAAATTTAATATAGATAGTACTTGTTGAATATCTAAAATATAGTTAATAATATAATTAATTAAAAGCATTGATCCTAAAATCATGGATTGTATATGGTTACAGAAGACAACATCTCTCATTTATATGTACGTGAATTTCGCAGAGTAGTCATAGCTATAAAACAAGTCATACGACATGTTTCTATTCTAAGTTGAACACGAAGTTTGCAACTGAAATTGGATGGATGTAGGTATGTAAGACTATCACGATACCCGGTATTTCGATTAAGCTATAGTTGTGGGATCGTGTGTTATTGTTAGAAGAGAGTGTTGTTGTCTTGAGCATTGAAAGAAATATGTTGTATTCGTGTAGAGGAATTCAGCTGTTTTCTGTGGTCATTCACTTGGAAGAGATAGTGATTTTTTTTCTGTTGATGCTGTTTTGTTCAGTTGTTTTGTTGGTTGTAGCAATGGTGGATATGATGGCACATTCATTCATTCATCTTTTCGACTCTTGGTTTCATAGTGGTCAGCAGTGAGCGATAATTGTTAATATGGCAGTTTTTGAGATGTTCGAAGCAATCGCATAGAAATCTTCGTAGGCATTCATGTCATCGTATTTATTTTGGTCAAAACATATCTACAATGGTAAATATTGAAAGAGAAAATTTTAATGTAAAATTTTTTAATATATTTTTCTATATAGACGAAAGGATAAAGATGAATGTTTTTTGATAGGTAATTAACTATTTGCTAAAAGAAAATAGTGTCATTTATTGAGCAAGTTCATTTGCTTAACTATTCGACGAATAGCAAGGGATAGTCTGAAAAGATTTTTATCAAAGTTTATGTGTGCCTATTTCATTGCATATCATTTGGAGTTTATGTTTTGTATTATAATGAGCGCGTTGGATGATGTTGTTTGTACGATTTTCGATGGCAGATAGAAATGAATCAATCGTTGTTTTGCCATCAGTTTTCTTTTTCATAGAGAATAATTTAACTTTTTCGTCAATAACTTTTTTCGTGTAAACTTGTGCAGTTTGTTCAGCTTTTGCTGGCACTTGTATCGTGATATGATCGATGAAGTTTTGGTTCAGATCTAATTCATTGATGGACTTATTCAAGTTTGTTATGACACATTGTTGATCAAAGACAAGTTGTGTTAATATTTCATTAATCGTTGTCAACCCGAGATCACGATAAGTATAGAATGTTAACGATGATCTCGACGATACCCATGTTTTAAATATTTCAATTTCAGATCGCAGTGTTTGTTCTGCAGAAGTTGCTTTCCAAATAACTGTTGCTGAATGAATCTAAACATAGTCATAGTGACGTAATGATATTTAATAAAGATACTATATTCAACCTCTGTCTGTCGTGGTTCTAATTTGTAAAATATTTCGATCAATCGATGGTCTTCTGCATTCCATTTGAGCATTTGTCTTCTTCTTTCCATTTCAATACGTAGTGAATATTGATCCTGATGGATAAAATGCGTCACTATCGTTGTGAGTTGATTTATATCCACATGAGTTGGCGCTTGTTTCATATATTCATGAAGTTCATTTTCCGTTTGTTCAAGTTGTTTTTGATATTTTTCTCTACGTTGATTGACAATTACTTTCGATCGACCATAAGTATGACACATAGAATTCATTTGAGCCATCGCTTTTGAGACTCGTCCATTCCAAATACCTTCGGTTATACCAAGTTGATAATAATACGTCCATTGCTCCTGTTGTAGTTTGTAATAGTTTAATTTATTCATCAAAATAGTCAATTGACGCGTATATGTTAATATTTGTTCATTATTATTGAGTAATTCAGTGAATGAATTTCTTGGAAAATCATTCGTCATGACTGTTGCTAATAAGATATCTTTGAAGTTCGCATTGGATATTGTTGAATAATCACTTAAAAAGACTGTTGGATCTACATTCGTTCCTATATCCAATGGAATACATTTTTTCTTCATGAAATACGGTTGAAACATCGATAACGTCTCGTCCTTAGTATCCTGTATAGATTTTATCTGTTTTAATGGATGATATCTTTTGTTGAATCGTATTTGTTTATGGATACGTCCTTGTCGACCGTATTTCTTTTTGGAACGTTGCTTTTTTCGCGTAGGTTGATTTTTTGATGATTTATTTTCTAGGTTTTCTTCTTGTTGATCTGTATTATGATTCATCATGGTCACAGATGATTTAAACTATCTATAATTTAGAATAGAAACAAGTTTGATTAAAATAATTCAAAAGAAGTGGATGGAATGAAAAGACAAACAAATAAAAGACACTTATGCTTGATTAAGATAAATAGAATCAATCGATTCCATGAGAAAAACCAGAAAAGTTTTTAAAAGATTGAATGAAAAGTTGTCATTGATATATTTTGTTCTAATCCATCAGTTATTCCGTAGTTGGTCGTGCTTCATTTGGTTTGGATTCTAAAATAAAAACGAAAATATGATATGATTTGTTCAAGATAACAAATATCGTTACTTGGTTTTGACGATGGATCTTTCAATAATCGTAATGATGGAC